TGCCACCTCTTCGCCGGCTCCTCTTCTTCGCCGCCGCGTTGTCCTCGAGCTGATCACTGAACTTCCTCCTCGAGCTGATCACTACGCCTCCTCGAGCCACCTCCTCGGCTCCTTCTGTTCGCAGCCTCTTCCTCTTCCTCGCCAGCCCTCTTCTTCTCTTTTCAAGGTAAAATTTTTATTTTTTCACTGTTTTTATTTTTTTCACTGTTATTGACTGATTGGTAAACAAATATGTACATGCTGCAAATTGAACCTCTTTGCTGCCAAAAAAAAAAAACTTATTTTACAGATCGAAATACAATTATACAGAGTTTGGTGAGATCTTGTTGATGAAATTTTTGATCTTTTATGCCGTTTAAGAATCCAATCTTGATATAATATATAAACGGTTCAACTAAAACAAATCTTCATCCTGCAGACCTGAAAAATTCCAGCGAAGCAAAATTAATCATTGCAAGAAAATCAATTATTATAATTAAATAATTAAAAAAATAGCCAAACATCTAGGCCCATGGGTGCTAGGCACTGGCTCAAATGCCTAGTCCACCCAACGCCTTCTGTAACATTGCAATCAGGTATACCCCCTTCTCTTCAATTCAAAGTCCTAACGTTTGTTTCTTCTTCTTATGAAATAGGTTTTGTTATGTTATATAAAACCCAGTTGGCATTCTTTAAAAAAATGGTTATTTTCGAGTTTCTGGACATGGCTATAGAAGAAAGAACACAATTACTAGTTAGAATGGTTCAATATGAATCCATGAATATGAATTAGTAATTTTACCAATGGTTAGTAGTAATTTTAAGATTATCAAGCCCTAACCACTCCTAATAGATAGCAAATCACAACAATTGAAACTGAAACTGTGTTATGATGGGTACATGCATTAAGACAAAATATGTTTTTGTGTACATTTTAAATCTGTTGTAGATTAGTGGCACTGCAATATAGCTTCCAATTAGCATGAACATTGAACTTGAAAGTAGTGCAAACTTTATGCATGTTTAAGGTTATTTGTGTAATTTCCTGTTACAGAGATTGTGCTCAATGCTAGTAATTTCCTGCAAGTTAAACTCCTCGCTACTGTTGTTATCTGTAGATATTACTTTCAATATTTTTGTAAATTCCATAACATTGATTTTGGAGTTCCCATTCTGGAGTTGTCAATTTGATTCTAGCAACCGAAGTCATTTTATTTTATTCTGTTAAGATACATTGATTAATTATGGACGGTATTTCTCCTACATTAAAGAGAAAGGGCTGGTTTGCTGCAGGAAAGAAGAATAAAAATAAAGGAATTTTTTCGCCTTGTCTGTCTCATGCAAAGTAGATCAACCTTGCACTTTAATTAACAAAGAGAAAGAAACTACTGATAATTATGTCAAATCATGATAAAGAAACATTTGGCGTAATGAGCCAAGGAAAGAATGTAATGCAACAAGGGAGAATAAAATCCACGTAATAAATGCATTCTGAATCATATTCCAAGATTTTGTGAAAACAAAAGCGGAAAAGATTTAGACAGGTAACCGAATATTACATGTGCAGGATACATCCCTTAGATAGAGATTGCTGCTATTTTTAAATCGATGCTATTTTGAAATTGAATGAAGAATAATGCCACAATGCCATGATATTAAATTTAATTATAATGAATTGCAGATAGTTTTTCTAGGACAATCCATTTGACTCGAAACTCATCCATAGAAACAGATCCCTGGGATATAGCTACCTGTGTATTCCTAAGTTTTCTTCCCTATACTTAAAAAGTTTAAAAAGTTCAAGATGATAAATTACTTTTGTCTCACTTAAAAAAACTTTGTGAAGATTAAGTAACCAATATTTTTTAGGAGACCATGCTAAGTAGAATCTTTGACATAAGTAGGGAAATCAACAAGGGCATACAATAAGACGGGAAAAGGTAAGAAAAAGTAATTGTGATATAGTTATCATTCCTCCTTTAGTTAAGCCGCTATATTTTCGGGTAGGTACATAACATGTTTCTCTTTTGTTTAGAACCAGTGATTTCCACCACCATTATTCTGACTAAAACCGTAAATATATGATTGTATCCAAATGTTTGTTTCATGCCCAATGTTGCACCACTTATACAGTCTTAATTCTAGCTAAGTTTGTTAGGTTGCCAACCTAGCAAGTTGTGTACTTTTCTGATGATTATTTATGGAATCTTTTTTCCAGTAACGATGGATGAGCGACCAATATTCTTGACATATGTCTTGATGGATATTAATCTTGTTAGTTATCTAATAGTTTGACTAGTCTCTACCAAATGTTTCCTTTCACAAGGTATCGTCTTTGTGAAATAGCTAGTGAAATCAAGTAATCTGCAGAAAAAGCAAAAAAAAAAAACCAACCAATAAAAAGGATCAAGATTACCTCTCTATAATCCGATTTTGAGCCGATCCTTTTCGATACCCTTGACCTATTGGTCAAGATAGCTAAAGAGGACTTGGCGTACGAACCCTTCGAACATGGCTATGGATGAAGAGAATGATTCCCTAGCTCTCCACTACTATAACACAGAGATGAGGGAGACGAGGGATTAGGGTTTCACAGATTGTGGGTTCAATGATTGTGAGTTCTATGAAGAGAAGAAAGGAATCCGAAGGAAATAGACTGATGGCTTTAGGAGCAAGGTGGAGGGGCTTTGGGTTTGAGTGCGGACATACCTTGTAAATTCTAGGTCGGGTTGCGAGCTGTGTGTAGTCCTCGAATCCAACTTAATAGAGAGAAAGAGAGGGGTGTTAAATGGGTGAGTTTGGGTAATAAATGGGCGGCATATTTTGCACATTTACCCGTTTATGACCAATTTAAAATTTTCTAAATAAGTGGGTTTTTGCCCACCCATTTAATAAACGGGCCTCCAATTTGCCCATTTAATTATGATAGTTATGTCCATAATACTTTAGGGGGTTTTGGCAAAATTTTAGGGGCTTTTTGCAAACTTTTGGTTTTTTGCAAATGTTGGGTTTTTTGCAAAATGTGGGTGTTTTTTGCAAACTTTTAGGTGTTTCTCGCAAACATTCAAGGGGTCCTTTTTTTACATGTTTTTTGCAAACTTTGGGCTTTTATAGCAAACTTTCGAGGGGGTTCATAAAGTTTTAGGAGGTTTTTTTGGCAATCTTTTTTGGTTTTTTTATAAACTTTCAGGAGGGTTTCCTACAAACTTTCTAGGAGTTCTTTTACGAACCTTTAGAGGGTATTTTGCAAACATTCAAGGGTTTTTGTAAACTTTTAAGAGGTTTTTTTCCAAAGCTTAGTAGAATGAAAGGAACAACTTTCAGCCAAAAGATAATGCATAGGATCTTTAAATTTCATACATGGATGCACGTCATAGTAGCAAACTTTAAAGGTTTCACATGAATGCAAAACAAAAGGAATGCTGGAAATAAACATAAGCAAACACCTAAATTTAGTAAAACCTGTACATTAACAAGTCCATTGCATTTATGTGAAACATCACAACTATCCAGGAAATACCAAGCCCAACTAAGTGCACAATATATTAAGTGCACAAATCCATAAGATTCTTGTTAAATGTACAAAAGATTAGTTTTGGAAACATCACAACCGTCACAAGGAAATGCCAAGCCTAATTAAGTGCAGAACATATTTTAAACAATTTACAGAAACATAAAAGTTCCTAGAAACATCATATCCATCCAAAGCATGCTATAATGAAGCAGCCAAACAAAGCACAATTGGGGGAACAAAATATCTCAAATAATTTACAAAAAAATACCAAGAACTGTTAGCAAGAAGCTTTTAGCAAATTTCTTTCAACCGTCCATAGAGAAATGTTTGGTGATGACTTCAACCGGCAACAAAGGAATAATACATGCAATGAAAATATGCTAAAACACAGACCGACCATGATTCATAGAGGAAACCCGACTCTATTTGTTCAAAAAACATAACAACTTGGCCTCAAAATAGTATAATACCCAAAATTAAATAGTAAATTTACGCACAACTCCAATTGCCACCTTAATTTTCTTCTCCATCATCTTCAACAAGCTTCACAAGGACCTACAAGTGAGAAATAAATTCAGCAACATAAAGAAATTTGTACAAAAGAAATACATAGTGAGAGAAAAGAAAATGAAGAATGAAAGTACCACAGTGAAAAAGTAAAACATCTAGATTACTAAAATTATGTATTAATAAATTTCCTTCTCCAATGTTTGCCAAAGTTGCATTTAATAAGAAAAAATAACATTAATTTACTATGATAAAATATGTATTCCACAATAATATAAAAAAGCAATAAAGAAAAAAGAAGGTAACTCACAAGGGATCCCATCTAACCAAGAAGCAACTCACAAGGGATCCCATCTAACCAAGAACCAATACAAATTGAGCTTGAACATTCACGGAAAGAAGACGATTTTGATACTTGTCAAGCACACAATCCCCAATGCTGAAAGTCAATTTAAAGGCCACCAAAGTAATAGGAATACTCAATATGTCTCAAGCCGTTGTCAACAAGTGAGGATGCTTCTCGCATTCGCCTTTCCAGTACTCGAGAATAATCAAATGATCATTTTTTTTTCCAACTGACTAAATTTTCATCTAGGTATTCTTCTAACCGAGACTTCGACCCACTGAATGGATATAGTTGATTCTCAAACTGTTCAAAACTGATCCTAAACATATATTATTCATATTTTGTATGCTTAAATTTCATTACATATGTTGAAATTGCATTATGCATTATACTATGTATGCAAACATTCATTATGGCATTCTGATATTTATCATATATCCCCGATATTTCCCCGATATCCGCAATCCGATATGAATTTTGGCCATCCGATATTTCCCCGATATCCGATATTTAAAACCTTGGTTCAAACTCAATCATCTCTTCATTAGGATCATCTCTAAGGGTCTCTTCATCATTGACTCAGCTGTAGATGTATCTATAGACGCTTACTCATATTCTCTGTGAAGACTCTTTAGTTTATCGAAGATAGTCAAAACATAATCAGAACTAACCTCTAATTTCTTAAAACAAAACTCTACATACTTCACCTTGTATCGGGGGTCCAAAATAACTGCAAATGACAAAACAACACTGTAACATTCCTAATATTTATCAGAATTTATTTTCATATCATTTGCTATGGATTTTATATCTTGATCATCACTTTTCATCTCCATTATGCATTTTTGAATCTTAAACACTCCATGAAAATATGAGTTGGAAGCTGGCTATTTACCTCCAGAAAAATAATGTGGACACTTCATAAAAATGTTAAACTTTGTAATTTATTTAGCCTCTACCCAATCTTCACTTGATGACAAAAAAGTAAGATTTGGATCAATCAACTTCAAGTGCTCAAATGTTCGACGAAAGTTTAGGGCATTCTTCAGCATTAGAAATGTAGTGTTCCACCTATTGGACACATATTGCTGGATTTTTTCGCTTTCCTTGAACAAGTTTGTGCAATACACTTGCAAATATCTTTTTCCTTCTAGGACAACTCCTCATATGCTTGATGCATTCACTTAGCTTAGACAATGATTTATTGATAACCTTTAACCCATCTTGCACAACATTATTTAGAATATGAGCACAACTCCCATTACTAACAAAATGGTCTTTTAAAATTGGATGGTCTTTTAAAATTCTCATAAAAGCATCATTATATGCTGCATTGTCCAAAGTAACAGTAAAAATTCTTTTTTCAATGCCCTAATCTTTTAATAAATGAAATAACTTCTTTACTAAAATTGCTCCACTATATGAGGGTGGAACATGAGATATAGTTAATATCTTATTTTGCAAAATCCAACACATCAACATGATGTGCGGTGAGAGACATTGTAGTCGGAGGTGGAAGAGGTCCACAAATTTGTGGTTAGACAAATTGTACTAGGAACTAACTTCAAAACCTGTTTAAGATTTTCTTTCTCTTTCTTGTACAGCTTAATCAAATATGTTTTTAGCAATGTTCCTAGAAATATGCTTGAGTTTAGAATTTAAAAGAAGTATGCAATTCATGGTTTTCTAGATGTTCAACAAAAGTGAATGGATAACCATGCAATATAGTTACTCTAGCAAGCATTTCTTTATACTTGTCGTGATCTAGTGGCATATTTTTCCTTGAAGAATCAGTCACATCTAAATTTCTTTTTGGGCAAGAATAAATTTTTCTCAACATTATCTTAGTGCCATGATTACCAACATAAATATGATAAGACCTTGTACATTGAACTTTAGTTTTCTCATCACTAGTGGTAGGTAATTTTGTAAAGTGATCCTAAACTTTTAATGTTTGTGTTTTATGTTTAGAAGTACTCATCATCACTGCCATCATCATGGATGCGAAATTGATCATTTAAAGATATGATGGCTAGAAAAAAACAATCTAATAGCACATTAGTTTTGGGCATCAAGCGCATAATAAAGAAACTTTTAAATTTTAGCCAAGCAAAATAAAAGTGACACAAAACATACGAAAAAGAACAAGCATGAACCTTTGGCTGACATGTAAAGCAACAAGACAACTCCGGAATGAGAACTCTAGACAAATACATGAACTCTAATTTATCAAAGTTTTCTTGACTTTTTGCAGTACACGGATTTTGGGGGCCAAACTCCTGTCTCTCTCTTGAGTTGGATTCGGCGATTACACCTGGCTCACAGCCCAACTTAAAATTTATAAGGTCGGTCCACAACCAAACCCAAAGCCTCTCTGCCTTGCTCCCGAAGCCATCAGTCGATTTCATTCAGATGCCTTTCTTCTTCTCTTCATAGAACCCACAATCTGTGAACGCTCAATCTCTCGTCTATCTCCTCTCTTTCTCTCTCTCTCGGTAATGGAGAGCTAGGGCATCGTTCTCTTCATCCATAGCCATGTTCGAAGGGTTCGTAAGCCAAGTCCTTTTGGGCTATCTCGGCCGATACGTCAAGGGTATTCAAAAGGATCAGCTCAAAATCGGATTATGGAGAGGTAATCTTGATCCCTTTTATTGGTTGAATTTTTTTTCTTTTTGCTTTCTGCAGATTACTTGATTTCAATAGCTAATTCACAAAGACGATACCTTGTGAAAGGAAACAATTGGTAGAGACTAGTCAAGCTATTGGATAACCAACAAGATTAATATCCATCAAGACATATGTTAAGAATATTGGTCGCTTATCCATCGTTATTGAAAATAATAAATTCTATAAATAATCATTAGAAAAGTATAGGTTGGCAACCTAACAGACTTAGCTAGAATTAAGACTATATGTGGTGTAACAGTGGGCATGAAACAAACATTTGGATACAATCATATGTTTATGGTTTCAGTCAGAATAATGTTGGCGGAATTCACTGGTTGTCTAAACAAAAGAAAAACATGTTATGTACCTACCCGAAATATAGTAGTATAATTGAAGGAGTAATGATAACTGTATTACAATTTTCATATGGAAGATGCTAACAAATGTGTGGAGTCCTTCCTTGAAATTTATAATAAGAAAGTGGTGAGTCACTATGGGTCCACTCTTTTGTTTGTGGTAGTACCAAAATAGTATGAAAGGAGTACTGATAACTGTACTACAGTTCTCATACTAATATATGACAAAAGTAGCATAAGATGTTTTACTATTGCTTATAGGGGCTTGCAATGGGATTGAGGAATAGTTATTTACTATTCCTTAATAAGTGTTTACTACTGTCGAGTTTTGTTGCTTTTTGTGTGAACTACCTGGTTTTCAGTAACTAACTATTTGGTAAATACCAACACCTTTCGTGGAATGAAAGTTGTTGAAGAGTTCATTTTCGCAATTGGTTAACAGAGTTGTAAAATAGGCAGTTAACATGGGGCCATATGCTGTGAATTTGGTTGTATCAGTTTTGAATTTTTTATCATAAAAATTAGTGATTTTCAAAGCATAAAAATATTTTCAGGATAATTTTGTTATAAATATGTCCTATTTTTCGTGAAGTATAGGGTTTGAACCTTACTTTTTATCAAATATGGAGGTTATGTTTTAATTGATGAATCCTACGTAATAGTTATGAAATTTCATTTGTAAAGGAAATATTATTGTGGTACACTGAGGATATTGTCTCCATTTAGTTCTCCAATTTCATTACTTAAACTTACACTTTTTTGATTGTTCACGCAGAAGAAGTATTACTGGAGAATGTGGAACTAATTCTCGAAGCTTTCGACTATCTACAGCTTCCTTTTGCCCTAAAGACTGGTATTTTCATCTTGCATTTCTCAATTTTTGGTGCCTAATAATCTAATACGCTAGAAATGTCTTTGTCAAAATGGGCATGGCGAGTTGTACAAATACTTCTCATTCAATAATTATTGAATCATGTTCAGTATTCATTTCACTGGTGTTATCACTATTATGTAGTTAGCATTCTTTCCTCATGTACAATAGTGACAGGGATTTTCCCTTTTCCCCCGCATTTTGTGCTTCATGGATTAGTCAAGAACATATTTATATGATATTTTGAGTCTTGCTGAATTTCTGTTGGTCGTACCATGATTCTTGATCTAAGCAATACTGAGTTCAAATTTGGTTCTCCAGAATTTTCTACCATATATCTAAGTTACCATGTAACCGTAGCTTTGTCTAATTAAAGATAATATCTATAATGAAAAAACAACACATGGAAAAAAGGTCCTACTTGAAATGAGAGTGTTTATATTGTTCTTGTGGATATACGCTAAAAGATAGGATAAGAAATGAATATATTCATAGGAAATTAGAAGTTGCTCCTGTTAAGGATAAAATGAGGGAGAATAAAATGAGATTGTTTGTCCATGTACAATGGAGGCATTAAAATGCACCAATAAGGAGAATTGATAAGTTTATAGTTAATGGAACAAATAGAACTGGAGGTAAACCTAAAAGAACGACAGTAGTTAATGGAGGAGATGACGATAATAGAAATGAAAGGAAGATTAGAATTCATGTAGTTGACTCAAAAAATTTGAGATATGGCTTTGCTGTTGTTGTATCGTTTAATTCATGTACCTGTTTGGTGTTTTGAAACTTCAAAATTGGCTTTAGTACCTCAGTCAGTCTCATCTCTCTTACTGGTCAATATCTGTCAGTATTTTTGTTGTAAAATGAAATAGGGAGATGAGAATTGGAGTAATACTTATTCACATGCTAGTATCCTTTTATGTTTGTGCAGGATTTATCCATGGCTTTGAAAATCTATTTATTTTTCTTGATTACATCTTGATAGAATCAAATTTATTACTAATTGTCAGGGAAAGTTGGTAAGTTAAGCATCAAAGTGCCATGGAAGAAACTTGGATGGGAGCCTATCATCGTTGCATTGGAGGATGTTTTTATATGTGCATGCCAGCGAGAGGAGGATGAGGCAAGTTTATACATATAGAATAATTAATAATTATGAATTTCGTTGATTTGTTCTTGTTTCCAGTGTACCAATAATCAAATTAAATATTTCTGCTTATAAGTTTTTTTTTTCCTTTTTGCCCCTTTGACAGTGGAGTTCAGATTCTGTGGAGAGAAGAGAATTAGCTGGCAAAATGGCCAAACTTAACGCAATAGAACTAGCTAAGTTTTCAAGACGCGTATCTGGTGAGTTTATATTTACACAATATATTTTACATGCACATATATTTATATTTATTCCCAATTAACAGAATCAGGTGTCTCAGCAGTAGGTTTCTTAGGTTAGATTATACTATGTTGAACACGATATATGTTGCTTCTGCATACATGAACCAGTGAACGTTGCCTGATAATTTCTCTTTTAGTTTGCATTGGGTCGTACACATGTATGTTTTGGCTCATGTCTGATTAAAACAGTCATTTACTTTTTACTGTAGGTTTCTATCAAGGATTGGGTTAAAGCCCTTTTCATTTTCGCATTAGTTATGAATCAACTTACTGGTTTATTCAAGATGATATCCCATGGATGTATGTTATTTGTTGACGATAAAGTATAAGTTGATGAATCTAGGAATGCCATATTTTCTAAAACTGAAAGCTGAAAAGAGGCTCTCAAATATAAAGTTGTCAGAATTAGTAGCTCATACATGAAATCTAATTTAAATAAAGTAGTGAAAGGGAAGGAACATATATTGCCCATTGACTGTCCTTATATTGCACAGTTATTCATCAAGGTGGTAAGATTGAAGATGATGCGGCTCATTGAATCAATTTAGGATATTAAAAATGGAGAAGTTGTTTTGGGCTTCTATGTGATTCTAGAATAAATTTGAAGGGAAATTGATATGAGACAATTATAAGACCAATAATGCTTTGAGGGTCAGAGGCAATGAAGAGCGATATGTGTGTAAGATTAGTGTAGCAGAAATAAGACTTTATACTTTTTTGTTATTTCCTTTTTAAAATGTTATATATAACCACAATGAGGAATAAGACTTTATACATAAGAAACACGTGTGGGAATCTAGGCATGATAATTTAATCTATCAATCATAGTTTCCTCGGCTAGAAGTGTCCTACCAACTCAAGAGGGTTGAGTTCAAATTGACATCTGACAATAAACTTGGTCCATTCTAAGGTTGCATAGGTACGAGTAGTTGTACGGGCATGGATACGGGTATGAGACATGGTAAAATTGTAATAAGTAGGGTACGGGGACACGGTCGGAATTATATTATAATAATAGTATTATACTAATATATATATTATATATATATTATAATTTTTTAATATAATATATATATAATATATATATGAGATTGAATGGGTATCCTTGTCCATAGGAGGGGGATTTTTCTCCTATGACGGGGCCTCTAAAAATCAGCATGTATTCGAGGTGACATTGTGGGATGCATCCGCTCGTTGAAGCTTGATCTAACATATCTAAACCGCCCAAACATACCAAAGTTTGGGGTGAATCCGTCGCGTTTGACCGTGCCATCGAGCCATGTGAAAAGTTCTATCCATTCAAACCGTTAAAATTGATAGCGAGTGTGAAGGGTCAAACGACGACGGTTCAACCCAAACTTGGTGTGTTTGAGGGTTTAAGAATATGTACGATCAAGTTCAAACGGGAGGGGATCATCCAACAATGTCGGCTCAAATCATTGTGATTTTAGAGGCCGTCATAGGAGGAAAATCGCTCTATGACCAAGGATACCGCATAGATCTCTCTCTCTCTCTCTCGTCTCTACTATATATATATATATATATATATATATATATATATATAGTAATATTGATAATATATATATATATTCATTATACAGCTAACAATTAATGCTTAAATTATTCCTTTTAATTATTTGAATCCTCAAAAAAAATAAAATAAACTCATTTGAGACTTAATATTTCTCAAAAGAACAGAATGACAAACCTAGACTTCTCTCGTGTTAGAATATTTGAGAATGAGGATCTATAGTTATGAAGACCAATGTCGTCCCATCCTTATCACTACCATTCTTTTCATGAAAAAGACAAAGAAAAGGGTTAAACAACACATGGGAACAGTGATGTCATCTTCCACTATCAAATAAGAAAATGAAGAAAATGAGAGAGAGAACATCATCTTCCCCATTCATCAAATCACAAAAGCACAAGCACCCATCCTTCTTAAAAAAATTGCTATTGAACTGCTCTCACACGTGGGAATAAGTTGCTCCCGTGTCTTACCCATGTGTGTGCGGAAACCTACACAATACGCACCCGACATGGGTACGGCAGCCCTAGAGTCATGTCGGGGCATCATAGGTTAATTCATTTATGGAGCTTTTTCAATGAAGTTGCTTCGGCAACTGACTCCATTCTTATGCAAAAGACTCAGTTCTTGATTGTGTTAAAGAGCTATTCTCAATCATTCTAATTTAGCTTGTTATTCCGTTGGTGCTGTTACCTACCTGGAGTAAAATAATAGTCATGTAATAAAAACTCGGATGGTTGAGTTCAAGTTGACATTTGGTTAGAACCTGGTCAATTCCTTTATGGAGCTTTGTTAGTTGAGTTGTTTTTTTGGTCAATTAAAAGTTTGTTAGACAATTATCTCACGGAAACAGAAAGAAATAACATTCTAAATAGCCATATAATGTGTATGAGGTGGTGGTTGATATTGGTAAGTAAGCTATCAAGAGATAAGCTATGTGGTGAGGCCCACCTTGCTAGTCGCATCAAAAGGTGTGGACTTCACCAATCTGTCTCTGGTAGCTCATTTGAGCTGTCACATCATACCCATTATTCCTGTACACACACATCCATATACACATACATACATATGTGTGTGTAAAAGATGGGGAAGATTGTGTTTTTTAACAAAAAACTTATTATTTATTGATCATTTGACTAGAATTAGACTTTTGTATACGATTTGTGTTTGTAGCATATGCACATTTTTAAATGGGTCAAATGTATACATATTCAGCCTTCAGATAAATATACATATATAGCTGCATTCTCATGTCTGGATTCTGGACATTTGATACCCTGTATTTGTGTTGGAGCGCTACACTATCGCCTGTCTGCTAATTATAAATTGTAATATCCTCAAAACCTCACATCATTGTTTTATGGTTTTCATGTCCTGAATCATCGACATAATTCTTGGTTAGTTCTGTCCATTGAACTCCATTTTTAGCCATGGTGCTTCGAATTCTTAGGCATGTGCTGATTATGTGCATATCAGATGTATAAACATTCACATGTCCTTTCTATTACATGGGGTTGCGTCGAAAGCTTTATTGATTCTTTCTGTACAATTCCAATCATGGGGCTTTGGTTTGCTCTTACTCAACTTCCTTCCCTGTACCAAATCAATTATATTATTCATATAATCTCCTTACATTTATCCCTTATTCTTGTACTTATCTTACTTCCTCGCACTTCTTCTTCTTCTTCTTCTTCTTCTTCTTCTTCATTTTGAGAAATTCTTTCACCTTATTATAATTGATTTAATTAGAGGAGTTAGCATGAGTAGATCTTTTACAATAAGTTAAATGACTAAATGCCTTGGGTGGTCTTGTGATTATTTCCGTTCTTGTTCAAGTACACTGGGGTTATTCCATTTGTATAACAGACAAAAACTCTGAAGCAATGTCCTAATGCTGTGGTTATGGTCTTCATTTAAAACTTTGGGTTTCAGAAACACAACCTGTAGGGTCATCAGCAGACTAGCTAAATCTGTCGGGCAGGATGCGATAATGCTGTTTTGAATGAGATATTCTTAGTTGGAACATAGTCTATACAAACTTGTTCTTTTTTGTCACTAATAAGTTGAAAGTTGAAAAAAGATTAAAATGTGGTAAATTAGGTAAGCAGCCATGGTGTCTTCCTCTGTTGACACTGGCAACAAAAAGAAAGGACCCACAATCGTAACCGCAGATGTTGCCAGCCTCTAATTCATTGTTGTAAATGATTTTTTCAGTATACATAATGCTTGTGTCTCGCCTGTTTCAATCGTTCATGTCTTTTATATCCTTTTCTGTTTGTAGCACAACTGAGGAATAGTGCTCTCATTTTCCTGTATAACTTGATAACTATGACTGCTTATGTATTATACCTCTTCAATGTATATTTAAGCCTTTTAGAAGATATTATAGGGGTTTTTTAAATAAGTTTAATCAAATATATTTTATTTGGGCTTATGAGTCTTCTTTGACTCGATTTTTTTTCGTCCTGTCCAGATAATCCAGCTGGTCAGTCATTTCTTTCATACATTTATGCAAAGGTGAATATTATCAACAATTGTGGCTTTATATGATCAGTTTAGTGGAGTAAATGACTAACATGCTTTGCTTGAAATATGTCTACAGATTCTTGACAACATACAAGTTTCAATAAAGAATGTCCGTATCATATATAATGATTCTCATAATAACAAGGTACCATGTTCTTCACATAATAACAAGGCACCTGGTTTCCCCGTTCAGTTGTGCAGTTTACATTTTGTTAACTAGATCCCAAAAATATGGGTTTACATAATTTACTCACTATATTGTGTTAAGTCGTAGATTATCTACTTTTTCTACTACATGTCCTGATGGCTCTACTCGTCTTGACTAGCCTGCTTTCTTTCATGGTTGCTATAATTTTTTCTTTCACTCCCCACTTATTTGAAATTGAGAAATATACATGTTGAAAAGAAAATTAAAACTTTTCAAATAGTTTCCAGTTTACTGAAGCTGAAAGAAGGAAATGTTCTTTCTTTTATTTTAACAGGCCTTTCCATGGAGTAGCTGAGTTAGAAGTAATCTGGAATATGCGTTTCGTGGGTTAATAAAAGAAACAAGTTTATTCAGTTTATGGAGACTTCAATATTAATGATAATATTCCAAAGTTCTTAGCTTGTAGCTTACAGACGAGCTGTTTTGAGTAGAGTATGACATCTGCTAATCAATAAGTCATGAGTATGTATGTCGAGTACCTGTGGCTTTACAGACAACGCGGCTTGCCTCAAGTATATCTTTTAGGCCAGTATAAAAAGATTTGTTATCACAGAAATTAGTGTTACTTTTTACTTGGAATTCTTTTCTTTTGTGTTCAAGAGCTTGTGTAGATAAAATGCTTTTATTTTGTTATCCATTTGAAACTTGTGTTTTGTATAACATGTAAAATTGTCTTTACTGATATAGAAATTAAGAATGATTTGCAAATTCAGTATATTCCAAGCAGTTTTTATTTTGAGCATCAAATTTTCCTATTTAGGTTATTCCTACTTAGTTTGTGAAATAGTAGTTTAAAGTAGATAATTTTTATTAGCATAAATATGAGTGTATGTGTACAAAATTATTTTTGAAGATAGCTAGAGCATAATTGATGGGTCCTGTTTATCCTAGTGGCACATGGAGGGAAAGAAAGCTTATGTTTGACTGATGTTTTAGCTTAGTTTGAGTCTTTGTAACATCATTCATTTACCATATGGCATATGTATTTGATGTTTAGGAATTTTTGTGCTTTTTGAGCTGTTTTTTCCCCTTCTGTCATGTTATTTCTGTAATTTTATTGCTCCAACTCTATGTATTATTTAGAGTTGGCATAAAACAAAAGGCGTGCTACTACATTTGATTTCCTCCATGTAAGATTCATTGCTCTCTTTGTTTGATGTGAACATAATGTGAAGCTTAGTCCTAATCTGGTCTGCATTATTCTTCTATTTTATCTGTAAACAAATCCTCTTTACCTGTTATTTCTGATGGTCCTACTCTCATTTCTTCTATTCTCATTGATTTGATTTTCCGCCTTCGATCTGATTCAAGTAATTGCACTTCGTTGCTAGTTGTTCATAGGATCCTGCTCAAAAATCTCTGTTGGGGAGTTTTGTTTCAGTTGTGATCTATTGAGGGCTGATCTAGTGAGGGTCTCATCTTGAAGTAAAATATTTGATTATTTTTCTGTGGTCCTAAATAAAGGATGCATGGGTCAGTAATGCATTCTGCTTATATATGTACATATACATACATATATATACATATGTATGTATTTCTAATATTCTATTCTGCACCAACACAGCATATGTTATCTTACTTCTATTCTCCTGTTGTTTATGAGAAGCTGTTCAATCCATACTAATTTCAAATTGGCATACTCGCACTATTACCTGGCTAAGTTCTTAGATTTCTTTTGTGCTTTTCCAGGGAAATTTCGTATTTGGTTTAAGATTTTCCATTCTTACAATGACGACTGATAATCAGAAGCAGAGTTCTTCAATGTAAGTTCTACTATAACAGACTCAATATGCAATGTTCTCAGAACCTACAAGTTGATAATATTTTAATCTCTGAAAAGAGAGTGACGGTAGTAACTCTTGAGCTTATTTTTAAAGCATTCTCTATATCTGCTATATCATATATTCATATTTCAGTTTGCATGGCACTATGCATGTTCGTTCTTCATCACTAAGCATTATGTGTTTACTACTATCATTTTTACTGAGCAAATATCTAGGTGGTCTTGAAGCTGGGTCCTCTCGTCACCCAATCACCCACTTCACCAGCGAGTCTAGTCACGTTGAATGTTGAGTGTTTCTTATTGGTTTACGCTGGAGGGGATCTGAAGGTTCAGGTAGAAATATTTTTTGTACAATATGATTTTCACTGGGAAAATATCGAGTTTTATTTTTTTTGGAGAAGAGCCATAAATCAAATTGTTCCTGATAACTCTTCCAGAGCATGCAGTTCATCCTATTTGTCACTCTTACCGCTTAAAACTTTCAATGAAGAGGTTATCAATGTTCGTAAATTTTCTCCCTCTTAGGGTGCTGCATTGCATCTAGCTGTCAACTATGGATGAGCAAATGGAAGGGGATGGAAGTGGGGAGGAGAAAGTTTAGAAATGGAAGGGCTGTGATTCATGTGGAAAATACTAACTATGACAGCAGGAAAATTTTGGATTTAATCAGATAGTTTCTATTGATTTTGTTAGTGTGCTTATGCTATAAGAGATAGAGACATTTAATCTCCTCGAGCATGCAAAGGAAACCATCAGTATGTGGTGAATCTAGATTTTCAAAGCAAATAAAAGCAAGACAGATTTATTTCAATTTTTTAAATAGATTTTAATATTTTATGTTCCTGGGCAATTCTGAATGTGTTTTTTACTTGAGGCACCTAAAAGCTGGATATAGACTATTTTGTAGTATTCTGTGGAGTTCAGTGGAGGAAGACAAGATTGACGGTGAAAAGAGTAGTTTGCAGCTGCTAGATGAGTTAGGAGGTGAGAATTAAGATGGAAGAGGAGGGACGGGGAAGAGAGAATTGGCTCAAAAAGAGGAAAGTGGGAGGTTCAGGAGTGATGCAGATCGTACGTCGTAGGTAATGGTAAGGCCGAGGAAGTAGAGGGAAGTTGGGTGTTTCTTGTTCTTTTTCCTCTATATTTAATTCTTTCCTGATGAAAAGTGCTAAATCTGACTTATTAATTATCTGAAATTTACTTGTATTCTAGCCAAAATCTGCCTTGGATTGTTCTAGGTCAACCTAGTCAAGGGTCCAAATTACTATATTTCTTAAAAGTAAGATGCAAAATCTGCCTTCGATTGTTTGAGGTCAACCTAGTAAAGGGTCCAAATTACAGTTATATTTCTTAAAAGCAAGACACATTTATTTCATATTCATTTTTTAAATAGATGCTAGTATTGCATTTATATCATTTTCCTTTTTTAAATAGATGCTAGTAATTTATGTTCCTAGGCAATTCTGAAGATCTTTTATTGATCTGGTTAGCGGCATATACAATTAGATATATATTGACATCTGATCTCGTCAAACATGCAATGAAAAACATCAGTGCATGATGCGTCTAGATTATGGAGGCATGGAGGCAAAGAGAGGGAAGGTCAAACATGCAATGAAAAACATCAGTGCATGATGCATCTAGATTATGGAGGCAAAAGATAGGGAAAGATAATTTCTTTGTATGTGTTGTAGGTTTTTTTTCCGTAGCATTACATATTCTTTGCAATAGCAAAGAATGACAGTTCAAAACATCGGCCAAAAGGTGTAAGCTGCTGAAGCTCTTTTTACTCGATGCACCTAAAAACTGGATATTGATTATTTTGTAGTACTTTGTGGAGTTGAAGTGGAGGAAGATACGATTGACGGTGATAAGAGTAGTTTGCAGCTGCTAGGTGAGTTAGGAGGTGAGAATTAAGATGAAAGAGGAGGGATGAGGAAGAGAAAATTGGCTCAAAAAGAGGAAAGTGGGAGATTCACGAGTGATGCAGATCGTCCGTCATAGGTAATGGTAAGGCCGAGGAAGTAGAGGGAATCTGGGTGTTTCTTGTTTTGTTTCCTCTGTATTTAATTCTTTCCTGATGCAAAATGCTAAATCTGATTTATTAATGTGACTATCTGAAATTTGCTTCTATTTTAGTCAAAATCTACCTTGGATTGTTTGAGGTCAACCTAGTCAAGGGTCCAAATTACAGTTGTATTTCTTAAAGCTAAAGTGACTATAGTTCACATTAGTGCTTTAATAAGAGTTAAAAGTTCTCAAGATTTAGTATTGGATAGAATTCTATTAGAAAATTGTGCTGGCCTTCCTGTTTCTGTCATTTGCTTCTCGCTTGTTGTCTTACCTCATTTCTCTGAGTCTCTGACCCCTTCTCTAATCCTTAACTCTCCCTCCCTCCCTCCCTCCACCTCCCCTTCCCTTCCTTCCTCCCTCTCCCCCACCTCTCTCTCTCACTACACACATGTATTTGGCCAAGTAATCTGGACAAAGTCACGCTGATACGATTTGCCATAGGGAAGATAATAAGAAAATTGCATCACATTCTATTGTGTTAAAATGTAATTGTGAAAATGAGAAAAGTGAGTGCAGTCAGTAGAAAATGGAAAATGTTTATCCTAATCCTCTGCTTGCTTGATAGCATTAGCTCATATATTAAAGGGAGAGTAACATGGTGATTTGATTAGAGCAGAAGAATGAATTCTTTATTTATTTATTTGGGGTCACATGAGGTTAAACTTCATTGACTGATAACATTTATTTCCATAGCCAAGGGTAGTCTTGTAAACTTGATAGAAGAACTCTTGTTCTGGGTGAGCAGAGGTTGAGCTTGAGACTGATGTCATTTTCTACGAGGCTTTTGAGAGACCTATCTTGCCTGTAGTCATCTTCTAGAGGAATATTTTTGGAGGAAATTTGATGAGTTTTATAAGTAATTCGAACAATTAGGAACATTATTATTTAGCATGTCCTTCGAGTCAATTCAGTAAATGCCTTCTAAATATATAATCTATTTTGATCAGAAAAACTTAATTTATGGTGATCTTGTTGCTTATACGAATCTGTAGCCTTAGATGAGTATGCGTACATATGCAAACAACAGTTTGGTTGTTGCACCAGGCTCTAATCCTTGAGAAGCATGGCTGATAATTATGAAGACACAAATTATGTAGATGCAGTTTAGAGGAAAAGTGATGCAGGACAACAACCTAGATATGATTTGATTCATTTTGAAAATGTAGTTAGGATATTTTATCTTATCTTTTCAGTTAGGATAATGTAGTTAATATTTTAAGTTTGATTTTTAGTTATGAAGTTGATTTTTTGAATTTTCATTCAGTATTTTTATTGGAGAAGTACTATAACATAATTAGACGTTATATGTTTTAATATGAGGTTAAAAACATGATCCAAAATATAGTACATTTAAAAAAATGGGCTACTTTGCTATTCTCCAAAATATAGAAGTACTATAACATAATTAGACGTCGATGATAGAAATTTGCTTTAGGGATATTTCAAGCTAGTGAAAACACCCTAGGTAAGTTCTTGGGAAAAGTTGGTTAGAGGTATCTAAGGGAAGGGTTAACAAATCCAACAAGGATGGGTGAGTTGAAAAGTGCTGTTGATCCTTTTACAAAGCCTTAAAAATTGTGTTTTAAAATTTTACCAGGATATTGTAACGAATGATTACCTTAATTGTATTTCAAAACCTAATTTTAAGCATTTGGTTGTTTACACACTCAGATGGTGGGAACATGCCCTCAATTAACACTTCGACTAAAAGCAGTAATAAAATTTTGGGTGTATACACACTCCGATGGTGGGAACATGCTCCAATTAACACTTCGACTAAAAGCAGTAATAAAATTTGAAACATGAAGACCTTTTTAAAAAAAGAAAAGAAAAAAGAGAAATAAGGGGATGATGGAAGATTCCTACTGGAAGAAATTCGAGAAGGAAAATATGGTAGCTGTTTGATATGATAAATCCTTCATATATTACAAGTTGATCCTCATCCACTGTCTAGCAGAAGAGGTTAGGATAAAGTTAAGACCTAACTCCACCTTACTCTTCACAATCACATAAAACAATGAGTTAGAATGTGAGGACTTATTGGTAATCTCGTCAATTTTTGGAAATGTTTATGCAACCATCCTACTTTTGGGTGAATTTGGGAGTAGTTATAGTTTCATTGAAAAGGTGGAATTAACCGACCTCTTGATGGGACGTGAATTTTTCGAGTCACTCACCTTCTAGAAATGCATAATGTTCACACCTTAACCTTTATTGCCAAACAAAACCTCCTTTTATCAAATGTGTGGTTTCACATGAGCATAGGCTAATACTGTGAACGAGGTACCAAATAGTCACTGATAGTACTGAAATATCATAACAGCAGAATTACTAGGCAAATGTGTATAGAACAGTAGTTGTGGTGAATGCCTTAGAAGCATTGAGCCAACTAATATTATTAAAGCAGGATCATATATCCAATACGCTACCTATCAGGTAATCACTAGAACATTATTTGTGTAGTGAGGATTTGGTACGTAATAAAAAAAAAGGTTATTGCTAGAGAAACAATATGTGAAAGAAACCAATGATGGAAAATGTTAGTGAATATTGCTTAAGCATCCATAGGTGCAGTCCGATTATACAAATGAGAACTGGGGATTGCTATCATCAACCTACTGAGAAGAAAACAAACACACGCTTATAAGGATAGAGATATAGGAATATGCATCTATTCTATACCTTTTAGATTATGAAAGTCTGATAATACATTAATTTCTTTTCTTTTCCTGAATAATATTCTTGGTAAGCAAAGATTTACACGTGTTCAAGTTTTCTTGTAAATTTATCTTTTTGTGCTAGATGTAATAGTTTAACTTATTCAAATTTTAGTAAATGTATTTCAGATAGCTGCCTTATGAATACATTCATTATTTTCTTGTGATTCCATATTCATTCTCATCTTCTTTACCCTCTTGCTCGAGTTACTAATCGTTCTTTTTTATTATTTAGGTCTGTTGGGAGATTGAGAAGTGGCCAAGTAAATAAAAGTGTAGAGATATCAAATATTTGGCTCTATTGTAATTTGTTGGAAGACAGTCCTGGACTGTTGGGCGTTGATGGGACTGCTGGCTCACAATTGTCCTGTGATTTAAATATAGAGTCTGAGAGATATGACTATCTCATAAATCCATTTGATGTGTCAATTTCGCTGCTGGTAGAGAATCTAATCATTTTTCATCCTTTGTGGCCTAACATTTCCATGCTCAAATATACTACATCATATATTGAGATTATTTTTTCATTAATTGGCTACCACTAAAGAAGTGCTTGTGTATTGTTATTTCTCGTGTTAATTGTCGTTATTTGCTGAATAACATGTGTTTATCTATAGGTAAACAAAACTGGAAAGCTTGATGGTGGACCTCAATATGCCCTTATTGCGGAGCTTACTAACTTGGTTTGTTCCTTTGCAATGCAAAGGCAAATTTATATTATAGTCGTTTTCAGTTAACTACTTTTTCACTTCTCATTGATATTGGATCTATGAGTTTCTTAGAATGCTTCATCTTTAATTAGGTTGTGTCTCTGAATGAAAATCAGTTACAACAAATTCTAAGTTTCTGGGACTACCTCTCCATATGCGCACTCAGAGAAAAGTAAGTCTTTTCCTGCATTTTTATATATTTTATAGAGCAAGACTCCTATTAACTTAAGTTGATGTCCACCAAAGTTTTTTAGTCACACATTTATTAATATAAAATACCTTTTTATATAATACAAGGATCCCTAGGCAATATGAGTGGTTAAAAACTTTGGTGGACACACTATTCTTTATCCACTTAAGTTGACACAAGTTTTCACCATATTTTATATATATGTATATAGTATACACATAAATATAATTCATGAAATGAAGTCCACAAAGTGCACCAGTTAATGAAGCGAGGAGGACTATAGGTAGACGTAAGAGATTTTGATTGGAAGCAAAAGAATATGATCGTTTTAAGTTAATGGAGGGGATAACCCTAAACAGAAGTGAAATGGAAAAAAAACGGATTCATGTAGATGACTCTAAAAATTTGGGATTAAGGCTTTCTTACTGGTGGTGTTGTAAAGCTTTTGGTTTATGCATCAAATTGACACAAAATGAATAGCAGAGAGTAACGCGTAGATTGTTGTAGGAAATGTCAAACGCAACAAAATCTGACTTTGAGAGATTTAAGTAAAACTGTTTAAATTTCGAAGTTTCAAGTTCATGGAGTTTGGATAAGGAATTTCTATACAAATGTGCTTTATGTAACTTGTCAAAGGATATTGGATTTTAGGGGTCCTTTGTTGACTGAGGATACCCCTCTTTGATGGTATCATTATACATATAGATTTGTGACGTCCCTGTTTTCACACATGCTGCAGTCCAAGGTGAACCCAGAGATGTCAAATCTGTAATGCACCCACACTGTGTAATAACACATTTCACCAATCACAGTAATATCCTCTAGTGAAATCAAAAGAAGTATAAGTATAAAACATGCATAAGAAAGAAATAAATATAATAAACATGATATAGAAAGAGAGATCTCATAAATAAAATCATATCTCAACTGTAATACATCTAATATCTGGAAGAATAAAAATGTCTCAACATGAATCAACTGAAAATCGTACTAAGGCACACTGCCTTTACAATTTGAAATAAAACTCGAAAGTCTGAATGAAATCATAAAAGAAATCTATTGTGGAGCCTCTACTAATAACTCATGTGACGGCGACTATGCGAGAACTTCGTCATCCTGCGGCTCTCCGAACCTCTGTACTGCCTGAAAGAAGAGAAAACAACAAAAAAAACCATATAAAGAGTGTCAGAGCGCTACAGCAAGATCACCTCCATCCGTCTCCAGGGGAAGGGCTACTAGATGGAGTGGATGCTCTATCTATAAGCATAGTCTACCTAGATTATTTGGCTTGTTTCTAAGTGAAATTAACATTTAGAAACCTACAATACGAGACGAGTACGTCGAGTGAAATAATCCAAACAAGAAAACCTTCATGTATATACCATTGTCTCAAATTGTAGGTAACTAAATATTAATACCGAACTAAGAATAAATAAGCTAAAGGAAATTAACAATTAGGAACCCACAACACGAGACTGATACGTCGAACGAAATAATCCAAAAAAAAAAAACCTCATGTATATACCATTGTCTCAAATTGTGAATCGCTAATCATTGATCCCAAACTATGAAGTAAAGAAAGCGGTAAAGGAAATAAAAATATCAATACATCGTATTTATAATATCTTCCATTGTCACCGGGAAGATAGAATAAATACCAACATATAATCCCGTATACTTTCAAGAGGTCAGTATCTCGGTCCTATAGCTCAATGATGTGCCATATTCATAACGGACATCCACTCAATGACTTAGGCTATCAATCAATAATCTCAAAGCAACGGACTATCCTGTAAGTGTCCTAAATAGTGTACACGATTTATTAGTCTCATCGCGATCTCAGCACGTAGCCTAAGTGCGAGACGACCTACCATATAGGTATCCAAATAGATGTCCTCACAAGTCTCATAATTATACGCCTCACAAGTCTCATCGCACACTCGTGCGGACGGACTGCTATACAAAGCATCCAAACCCAACTCAATGGCCTGTACATATGGAATATCGACGCACTACCTCATATAATACTGAACTGAGTTCATCAACGATATCCATCTCATGTATAAACTGTGTAAATCTGATATATCGACACACTATCCCATATAGTACTGAGCTGTGCTCATCAATGATATCCAACGAGTGTATGAACAATCTCTAACTCTATTATAAACAACCCAATTCTTGTCAAAACCCCCTTTGGGATACTAATGTATGTGCAATGCCACTGTACTTGTGGATTCATGTAATTACATGTGAGGAAGTACGGCTCGAACCCCGCAAACACATCTCAAACAAATACAAAACAAAATTCAGGAAATTAAGTCTTAGTAGTCGACTACTAGCCTGAGTAGTCGACTACTTTGAGTTCATCCAGAACCTGGAAGATTCTAACTAAGAGTTAGTAGTCGACTACTATTAACATTAGTCAACTACTCTGTTATGAAACAGACTCTGTGAAACGCATCAGGTAAAGAAGTAGTCGACTACTCTCTCTATTAGTCGACTACTCTAAGTTTAACAGAAGTCACAAATCTCAAACTTTTGATGTGTTATGTTTTATTCTCAAACAAAACTTGTTTAATTCACACGCAACTTAGAAAAAAAGGGTTTTTGTCCTTTGAAAACAATTATCATAGATTAATTCACATGATTCGACTCCTGAATTAACACTAATTAAGGTTTTACATCATAATTATCCATATTCTCGCATAACACATGAATTTAAGACATGAATTAACTCGGACATAATTATATCTGAACATGAAACAGGGATTAACTGACTTAAACACGTTCATGTTATTGTGATCTGACAATCTAAGGTTCAAACATGATTAATCTACAAGAAGACTTAATTTATTATCAAATTAGGATTTTACACATGAGTTAGACTTTGATTATCATATTAAAACGAAATTAATATTTACCCTAATGATCATGATCATATTTCTAACATAAACAACAAGGAAAAACATTAGATCTAACAGGGATCACAGATCTATTATCAAAAATCTATTCTTTTTATTTTATGAAACTAAGAAAAGGCATGAAGAACATTGATTTAATCACTTTAAATCTTATAATTACTAAGGGTGCAGGAACGGGTGAAGATGATTTTGCCTTAGAGTGTTGCTGGAGTCCTCAAACATGTGTGTGCAAGATCCTTCTTCAACCACGATGCCAAAACTTCGCCTTCCTCTTGACAAAAGCCTCAAAACTCACAAACTAGGTTTAGGATTTGAGAAGCAAGGTGGTTGCTGTTCTCACTAATTTTCTCTCTGAAAAAAGGGTTTAAACATGTATGAAAAGAGATATAGCAACCTGGGTTCGGATATAAACCAAATCCAACCCGAAATCTGAAAGAAAAACTGGAAACGGCCCCGGTAGTCGACTACTACTCAGAGTAGTCGACTACTAAGCTGGTTAGTCGACTACTCTGAGTAGTAGTCGACTACTAACAGCCCAGAAATAGGTTTGTGCATGTTTTCGTGCATGTTTTCCATCTTTACTCACATATATCATGTTTTCGTGCATGTTTTCCATCTTTACTCACATATATACATTGGATTGATCTCAAATCAATCCCTAACATACTCAAACATTAGAATATGTTATTTATCACCATATAACATAATAATTATTATTTATCACATAATATTCAAATTCACGGGGTTTTACAAGATTATCCAATAATTCCAGTCTAATGGGATAGATTACCATCATTGGATCATGTAAATCAGAAAACAACCCTTACCTCTCCAAGACAAAGACTGAGAGTTACTGACATGTACATGTACTCGTGCATATACCCTAGTGTTTATGGACAAATAGTTAATTGAACAAAATTGAATGGTTGTAATATGTTTGAAATTGGGTAATTATATCAGGTCTCTGTTTATGGTATATTTGCTCCAAACTGTACTCAGTGAATACCATTGTCTAAGGTGTCTTTTTGCATTGTGATGTGCTCAAAACTTTGGCAAAAAGCGGTGGCCAAGTTTGAGACATTTTATTTGAGGACACTAGATATCTTTTCTTTTTTTGCACTAATAAATGTGAAAGCTAACAAAATGCCAGCCTAGTTCCTCACAAATGAAAAGCTTCACTCAAAACGAAAGACATGAGGGAGGGGCTTACATGTTATCTAATGGCGCCTTCCTTCACAAGTCTTCACCATACTGCTGCTTGTCTCTCCTCTCTTATTTTGACATCCACGTTAGGATATCAATTGACTGTGATGCCCTTGGCAAGATCACGACAATTGTTTAGAGCTCCAGTAAATGTGATGGTGCAATGATGATGAAGTGCTCTCTAGTTGAAACAATTTGGTCTCTGATGATATAGGAAAGATATAATCACGGAAAAAAAACATTTGTTGAAGTCCATATGTCATCGCTGTGATCTTGTGGGCATGATATCACTATTTTGACCTTGCCGGAGCCTTGTGTTAAAACAGCAACCTTAATTATATGACTGCTACAATCTTGTCAAGACCTGTTTCCTTACTGCCACTACTTTCTCTTTGTTTTCGATGCAATTCCAAAATTAGTTCGGACATGATCACAAATTTGTTATAAAATATACAACCTGAAAACTTTTCCTCTTTGTTCGAGGATGCTTATTTTTGTTAGATATCTTGAGCAGACTGTGTCAAACCATTTGGAGTACTGAATAAATCTCAAGAGAAGATTGTGAGCTGGTTTATCTAACTGGATCATGAAGATCTTTGAGTATTAGCACATAAATACCAAAACCTTGGCCACGTTTTAAACAAACTTAAAGTGGATCTTCACTGAACTTCGATACAAAAAGTTTTTTGACGCTCGCTCGTGTAGACCTTCCATTAGACACTTTAAAATTTTTGAAAAAAATTCCCATATGTGACATGCGTGATATATTTTAGACTATTACGATTGAAATGCAGCAAAAGAGAATTTTTTTTGTTCATCTAAGAATTTTCTTTATCTTGCGATGATTGAGATAGAGGAGAGGGAAATGGGGACATTAGTGTGAAAGCATAAGGTGGTGGTCATGGTGGTGGGTTTGAGACGGATGGTAAGTTTTCGATAGGAAATAGGAGATAGAGGAGAGGAGGATGTTAGAAGTAACTAATGGCAGATAAAGAGTTGAGGTTCAAGCCAGAAATTTAAAGATGGTGGGTTTGTGGGAGGGATGGTGTGTTTGGGGAGGAGGGAGACATGACGTAAGTAAAGAAAGCTAAGAGGTTGAAATTTAGAGGGATGACGACAGAAAAAGACCTTGGGTATCAAAGTGGGGCAAAATGTGATCGAGGCATATATGTGACTATTTTTCTTTTCATATTGCAGAGAATTCTGCCTTTCATGAGAGAGCAAAACCCGTTGGAGTAGATTTCTATCTTGCCTTAGCAAAATTTGAGATCTGATGTATCATCTAGACTATACATGTCTTCTACTAATCAGTTACAAATATGAGCTTCTAGGGAAATTGAGTGTTCAATCTTTTTGTGTCAAGATGGGATGTACTATATACCTGTGCAGTCTGAGGGAACTGTTAGGAAATAGTTATTTTCTAAAAATCTTGTAGGTAAAACAAACTCTCCATTTCTCTTAGGCGTCTTTATTATGATTAGAGGCTTTTATTCATATTGCAGAGTGTTCTGCCTTACGTTAGAGAGGAAAACACATTGAAATTGATCAACATCTTGTATAACAAAAGGTGATAGGTGAATATATTATCTAGAATGGGTTAGCTAAAAGCAAGTTTCCATTTCTAGAATGAAGGGCAGAATACTTCAAAAATGTTTAGGTAAATCTAACACTCCGTTTCTCTTAGGCGACTATATTGTGATGACCAGAGGCTTTTATTCATATTGCAGAGTGTTCTGCCTTTCATTAGAGAGCAATACACATTGAAGTTGATCTACATCTTGTCTAACAAAAAGGTGATAGATGAATGTATCAGTCACATGAACACTCATTTGTTACCATTTTATACTTGTTTCCATGGCTCTATTTACTATGCAGTTCTTACTACTTATATTGCTCTTGGTTTCATAGGTATGGACGTTATAGGCCACCTCAGGACTCTCTATCCCAGAAGTTGAATGGATGGCAAAGAATGTGGTGGCGATATGCGTTGGAATCCGTTTTAGCAGATGTTCGTAAGAAGTTGAAGAAGACTTCTTGGAGCAACTTTGGGAGACGAATGTGAGTCTCATATACATTAATTCGTTTCTGCTGTTATAGAAGTTTAGGTGATTCTTGTGTTTGTCATTTAGTACCAGATTCCACATTCTGTCATTCATTCTAACAATACACTCGATTGTGGCTGAATTAATTTTTTTTCATTGCCACACTAACATAGCTAGCTTGCTAGTCTTTGGAAGCATGACATTGTAAACTTTCTATGACTTGGATATAAAAAAATCTTTTAATTAGAATTTCCTTTTTTGTTATAAATGATTTAAAAGAGTTTTTAAGGCACTGAAGCTTATTTTATTATGGTGATTATTATACAGCTCTATGCCTAAGAATTTTTAAGGCATTGGTTTATCATACATGCCATTTAAATATCCTTTCCTACAAGCCATACAACAACTTACTTGGCACACGTTTTGAATTTTCTGCTTCATGAATTTCTTTTGCAATATATTTTCAATTTTTTATGCACTAGTTGCGTGTCACATGTAGAGATTAGAGAAGTATGCCACTTTTATTTTAGGATATACATGTTGGAATTTATTATTATTGTCATTCTTGCAATATCTTCACTACTGTTGTGTAAATATTCTTTAACCATTAAATAGGTGGAAACTAATCACATTAAATTATGACATTGCCACAACAATTTTGCCTTGAAAATTTTCTTATCCACCAACAATGTTGTTTCCATCCGTATGTTTATCAGCGAACTTGTTACTAATTCTTTAATTTGTCATTTATATAATCTAGTTTATATTTCATATCACATTCTTGATTGCATTTTGTAATTTCAGAAGCCAATGTAGGCGATATGTCAATTTGTATAAAAGAAAATTGGAACTGCTTCAGCAAGAACAGGTGAGCCTCCCAAGGCTCTTGGGCTCACTCTATTTTTCATGTGTTCATAGTCGGAATTTTCTTTCCATTCCTCTGCAGATTGGATTGTTTTAAGAATACAACTATTTTTGCTTATTAGCATTTTTTTTTAACTCGCACGATAGATGATAAAATTCTCAACTGATTGTCAGACTCAAGAATTAGTTTCATATTTTCAATCGTATTTTTCATAAAACATGTTGAATTACTAATCATTATCTTTCTTCGTTTTAAGAAAGTTGTGGGTATGGCATCCGAATTTTTCAATGATGGTAATTAAGAAGTTGCGCCACTTTCTATGCGGCAGTCCGTTTTGTAATTACTCCAATCATTAGGCATGTGTTTGAAAAAGCCATTAAAGCTATCTGGTTGAGATATTTGTGTATATTTTACTGCCCTTTATTGTACATATGTAGCACATGTATGTATACATGCAACACATATGCATACATAAATTGTGGTCCAAGCATACATGTTTAAAGTCTAATATATACACATTTATGTGTGTCTTGTTTCTTGTTGTCCATATAAATATATTCGTATTACATGCATTTCTTTATGCAGACAAACATGATAAAATTGGGATTGATGCTTTGTATCTGTTGTTGTTTTATGTGCACTGACATATGCACATGCAAATCTATTTAGATACATAAGTCACTGCATGTTTTCTTATTTAAGAATGTTGATTTGATGTACTATATATTATGGAGAAATAAGTAGTAGATGCTTGCAGCCTTGATAGACTTTCCAATTTGAATTCACAATTGAAATAATTGGCACAGAATAAGGGTTCTTCTACCAGGAATTTATATTCTTTTTTAGCACTTCTCTCCCATATATGTAGAGCGTGCCAGTTTTAAAGTAGGTAGATCTCTTATTATATTTTACACTTCATGGGATGATGTTATAGATTAACCAAGCACTAGGATATCGTAAGCCAACAATATTAGCTATTTCTTAGATGTCATGTATATACCTGCAGGTTACAAACTGCATGCATATAATTTTTATGATGTTTTGTAATGTTAATTAGGGATGGAACTGGATATGACATCCTACTGTAACTAGGATGTTATAGAATCTTAGGTTAGATAGTGGTCATAAAAGTTTCTGGCAATTATGAGATTATTGAATGCCCATCAGGCTGAATGAAAAATTTATATGATGGTCATATATTTTATATACTTTAATGGACTTAAATGTCAAGAAAGTACGGAAAAATCTGCCAAACACTTACTGTAACCGGGCTGTGAATGTGAAGGTAGATTCTTGGTCATAGGCTTAACATAGGATATGGAATGAGTAAACTCACAAGAAGCTATGGGTAGCTTTCAGTTGAGTGCATAGGATAAGATGTGCAGGAGTCGTCTGAGATAATCATGACAACAATTCCAACTGTCTGACAATTTATAGTTTGATTCACTACGCCCTTTGAAGAACTCCTGTAGCCTATGATTTACTGACCTGGGCATCGATGTTGTTTCCTGACATGTTATATAGGGACGAACTTCAAACAAGATGTACGACAATATGTGCATCTTTTATATGAATGTATAAATGTGATTGATATAATGCTTTTGTTCTGTTGAAATTCACATATGGCAGCACCTAATTTCAGTAAAACAATCTAGAACAATTTAGGTCTGTCATAAGGGGCAACAAACTGTTGTAGTGGTATCATGTCCTTATGTGCCAGACAAAACTATTTTTGGTTGCATGCAGGGTGTGTGCATGCATATACTGCACGTGAATGGTTTATTTATAGTTGAATCTTGTTTTTCTAATCAAAATATTCTTTGATTATTACTTATTTTGTCAAATTTCTGTTCGAAGCTCATTAACAAAGATATTCTGACTGAGCTGGAGAAGATGGACAAAGAATGCGATATTGATGATATCCTAAATTTCAGGTGTCTAGCAGAGCAAGAATTACAGGTATAAGAATGTTTCATTGTTACATATATTTCACTGAATTTTTGCTACATATTCATTGAAATTTCTGGTGAAAACCTGTAATGTCATCATCTTTAATGATAGCAACATTCGTCTAGGATCACAAGTTCTATAGTGGTTGGCCAAGTGCATTCAATATATTTGATTAATTAGTTATGGAATCAACTTCTTATTCTGTTTTGAAGTTGTCTACAATGTTTGTCATGATTTTATTATAGTTTCTATTGCTGTATTAGAGATGCGAATGGCTTGTTCATAGTATAGTCTATGCGATGTTCTCAAAGTACCTACCACTACACAAAAACTTGGAAGTTGTGATGAGGGTTGATGGTTATATTTTTATAATCGAACATCTAGGGTTGAGGGTTATAACACTATTCTCACATGCCATTGCAAGTTGATTGCCCTTTTATGGGCCGAATCATGCACTCACAACTCTATCAAGTTTTTTTTAAGAATCCGTTTTAAAATTGTGGCCAATAAGATTTGAACCCGGTTTGCTCTGATACCATGAAGTTCTTGCCATTACACAAAAACTCCAAAGTTGTGAGAGTTGAGGGTTATAATTTTATATTCTAACATATATTCTTTAAATTGTTGATTCTGCACCATCTAGAAACTAAAATGTTCTTTTGCGCAGGCATGCTGATTTATAGTATTCAGGGTTGCGCAGATGATTTGAGATGAAAAGGAGTTCCATAGGATTTTTGATGTGGTAGAGTTAGGACTTGTTAAAAAGTAAATTTATTCAACTGGTCTATTTTAGGTTATGTTTAGGGAAAATTAAGTCTAATCTTCTGTTAGATTTTTTTTGAAAATTCTACATCAAATAAAAGTACCTATAAACATAAAATAATCATCAAATATCAAGTTGACTATGTAACGGTAAAGTCTACAAGTTACTATATTTTACCTTCTTCTTTTCCATCTAATTCCATTTGCCTTGGGAGCTGTTACGTTTAATTTATGTACAATGCATCCTAAACAAGTTTGAATAGATTTTTTTTTTAATGTTCTATGATTATTAGTCTTATGCAAGTCAAGTTGCAGCTGGTTGTATGCTCTGTTCTAATTTTAGCTACAATCAATTAGCCCGATGATATGAAAAAATTTCATATTATCTTTTTATATCTACATTTTGGTTTTATCATGATATGTACAATAGAAGCTTGTACATTTTTAAAAAATTGTCTTCCACATAAAATAGAAAAGGATCATATTTTTTGGTGAAATCTTGAAGATTGAAAAGAGAGAGATGGCGAAGCAAGCAAGGCATTTGAATAGGTTTTTATCTTGGCTGAAAATGTAGTCAATGACTGTCATTGGAGGGAGAGTGTTCCTCAGTTTTCCTCTTGATTCTAGTAGTCAAGATGGTTATTATTTTGTACTTGAACAATGCTTAAATTTCAATTTCTATTGGTGCCAGATCCTATGTTGAAGTAAATAGTAACATCTAATGACTTGTTCTTTCAAGAAGTGACAAAGAATCTTATTGAGAGCAAAGAATATGTTGCGATGTGAAGTGATAGATCTTCGAACTGTGAACAACACGAATAAGGATACTTTTCTATTATAAGCTGCCTGGTAATTTGTGAAATACATGATGTTGATGGCTTATAAGTAAAATGGATAAGGATACTTTCATGTTATACGTTGCTTGATAATTTATGAAACAGATGATGTTGATGGCTTATAGGTAAAGTGGATGTCCTTGTTAGTGCTAAAGTTGAGATTGAAATCAATGACGGAGTAAACTCAGCAAAAATTAATCAGTCCTCAAACCAAGCCATGATAGATCTTCCGCATAAGGCAGCAAAGTAAAGAACTTGGGTTTTGTTGAAGGAAGAATAGATTTTGAGGGAATGTTCTTTGTAACATTTTCTTGATTTCGAGGTAGACAGAGATGATGTTCACTTTGATAGTTGGGACTTTAATAACGGTAATGTGATGATTAGGATGCAATGAGAGTAGCAGAAAGGAAGGTACTATTGCTCTTGATGGATCTTCTCTTCTAACCATACGTGACAGCCCCTGTAAAGTTTCATATACCATTCACAAACTTCACAAATTATTCTATATTTAACATTTTTTGCGGAAAAAATTGCAAGAAAACTGAGATATAAATTAGTATTAATCTCCCTAATTGACTTAGAAAAATAATGAATACAATCCCTCAAAGTAATCTCTCTCTAACCGACTTAGAAAAAGAAATTACAATTTTTTTATCGGTTTCGCGATTTACAAAAGAGAGAAGAATAAATGAAGATCATTCTCTTTGTTTAATACTGGGTTCTTCGCGGTGTCGATGGAAGTTTGATTCTTGTATCCCGTTAATGATTCGAACGCTTCGCTTCGTGGAACTTCGTCTTCACTTCTTGACTTAACGTCTTGGAAAAACTTGCAAAACAAGTTTAGAACTCTGGATGAGTTTAGAACTCTGCAAGAGAGGTGATTTCAAAAAGGAATTTCAATCCTTTTATTCGAAATAAGCCAACGAATTTTCTCTCTAATAGCCGATCTCAAAGATAGCCAACTCAAGATGATCTAAAAGCCAACCCCTTTTTCAACTATAAATTAGCTATTTATAGGGTTTAAGAGGTGTAACCGACCCCTTAATTTGCTCCATAATGGGGGTTTAATCGCCCCATTAAGTGAGGAAAACGATTATGAACCGTTCAAATTATGTTTGAAATAGTCAAACGCGAGGTTCGCGTTCTAGAGTGAGCCTCGCGTTCAGTTCTGTGAAATGCGGGGGTGACCCTCGCTTTTGAGGTTTGGAACGCGAGGGTGTGACTTTTGCGTTTGGTTTGGAACGCGGGGGTGTGACCCTTGCGTTTGGGTTTGAAAAGATTGTCAATTGTAATCTCTTCTTCAAATTCTGTAAGGATTGTCAGCTTGTAATCCTTGCATTTGGCTCTTGGAAATATGAGAGTCGTCAATTTGTAACTCTCGTATGTTATTGTGAAGATCGTCAAATTGTGTCTTTCATTGTCAACGTTTTGTGAGGATCAACTATCTGTAGTAATTTTTAGACAATCTACAAACATACATGCATTTTCTCTAATTTATCAAGTTCAAATAAGAAATGAAGTCCTCAAGGTGACTCCGTACCTGAACCAATCAACAAAAACCTCAAAAACCAGGAATTTCTTCATACACATCACACTATTTGTGGTGGACCTTCATGGTAGCCAGTGTCAGAATCACCATAACAACATCCCTTAAACACCAAATAACTTACTCTTATACTTATTTGACACAATACTACTGAGAAAGTAAAATTTAATTTTTTTAGATATACTTGTCTTTGGTTTTAGAGTTTTGAAGATAATTAGGAGAAGATAGACTTTTTTAGGATTCCTGGATGTAATGGAAAGTTATAAAAAGTGTTTTTGGAGCATGTTCTTAAAAAAAATAAAAAAGGTTGTTTTAGGTTAAGTTTGTGATATAGTTTACACTTCAATTAAGAGAACTAGAATGATAGAAGGAAATAATGTTTTACACCACTCTTTTTGAAGTTTTCACACCTAAGATTCTCCTTCACACCATAGATGAATTTCTCTTCCACACCATAAGCTAATAATTGGCAAGTTGAAAATGAAAGATCTTCTCTTTGAAGATTATGCTTTTTAATTCTATAATTTGTCATGTCTTTAGCCAAAAATCCTAGAAATAAACATGGGCTTGTTGTTTTGAAACTGAGAAGTACGTTGGGTCAAAAACGGGTCTAATCAGAAAATTTCTAAAAATTAAATAAAAATGATATTAAGAGAACATAAAAAATAAAGTAATCTAACCTAAAACTTCTAAATGAACTTAGGTTTCTTGTTGGTTACAGTTATAGCCTTGGTAATTTTATTGATTTCGTAGTATTAATTGATTTTACCATCTTTGCTGATTTTTAGTATATGTTGGTAATCGAAACCTTTAGGAGGTTGGCGACTATGCCACGCGAAGCATATACTATTTCTCGGTGTTATATCAATACTTATTGTCTCTATCAGTAGTCATCTTCGTTACTCTGGGTCTATATCTTCTTGGTCTGTTTGCTTAATTGTTTTCTTTTCATGTTTTTGCAGGATCTTTTGAGCTCAAGATCTTCTAACATGTCAACAAATGATTATGTACATTATCAAGCAAAACAACATAGTACTGACCAATTAGCCAACAGAGAACGTGGTTGGCTAAATTGGTTGTCCCTTGGCATGCTAGGAGCTGGTGGAACAGCTGACTCCAGTTCATTTGCTGGTGTCATAACTGATGAGATCATAAAGGTACTTTTGTTTATGTTAATTGCTTGGATCTGCTCATTGTCTTGGACTCTTATTTTTGTCCTCTTGCACAGGATATATATGATGCTACTGAGTTTCATCCGATGCCTTCTTCTGGTGGGGATTCCTCAGAAAGTGATAAACTTTGTTCATTTTCTATCAAGCTCAACATTTGTCAAATTCTGTTTACAATTAGCACAAGGTACTCTTGTCATCTTGCAAATTTGTCTATTATAAATTAGAGAATATTGTGATTTTTGCTCTATTTATGGTTAGGTGGAAAATGAAATTGACGTTAACTTGTTGAATTTGAATTCAATCCTCGATTTCTAGTGTTCAGATATATAGTATTGTTCGGCTTAACCTTGATCTACTCTTTAATGTATATGCTGAATCCGTTACATAATTGTGGATGAAAATGGTGACTTGTTCAAACTAAGTTGCAATTCCATCTTTTTTTCTATTTATTTAATACAATTTGAATCTTGTAAAGGAGGAGAATGCTTTTGTTCCAAGAGACTTATAATTAGTAGAACAAAAACATAATTTATGGATTGACGTTTTTAGTAAAACTATGAAGAGGAATGCGTGTATAGTGCATATTGACAGTCAAGAAATATCTAAGAGTAGTTATTCTTGTTATTTTGGATCCTTTATTCATAATGACAGTGAGCTTGAAAATGTGATTCATCCAAACTAATTAAGGTCGTAAAATGGAGTTTTCTGGAGTTTCATGAGACCGTAGAGCAGCTTTGCAATTGAGGAAACTTTTACTCGATAGTTATAAGACTAATAATGCTTTATGCATAATAATGTTGTGTAACTTAAACCAACGTGCATAAGAAATGAATGTAGAGGAAATAACAATGACAAATTTTTAAAATAGACAATTTTAAAAATTTAATTAGCAAAATAGATAAGATATTTAATTAGCAAAATAGATTAACTCCCGACAAAGGTGGTTGAAAGTTGATCTATTTTGCTAATTAATTATGTTTCTAGTCTACTTTGCTCTTAAATGTACAAATTTGTCCATTTCAAAAATTTATCTATTAACAAACCAAAATGCAACAAACCTGTTACTTTTCATGTCAAATCATTGTATGGTTACGCTCTTGACTTTTGATGGGAATCTGGTGGACTGTAGTTATTTTGTCAATGTATCTGATCTCGTTGCTGTTTGGGGGAAAAATGTTCTGAAAAAAGAACTAATCTTACATATGTACTTTTAATCTTTTGCTTCCTTTTTAAATTCAAACTTTAAAATTTTATTGTGGTCAATCTTTGCTATATGATGCGTAGTGTTGAAGGAAACAATAGTCCTGTCAACAAGTCATCTGAAGGAGAGGACCCAACATGGACTCATTTACATCCTCATTTAACATTATATATAATATAATATATATACACACACACACCCACACCCACGCGTTTGTAGGGAGGGGATACTAGTACTGCATGGATTTTCGATGCTGTTGTCATGTGTTGAGCTTTTAGTTGCTTGCACAAACACCGTAGGTTAGTAGTTTTACGGGACAATTGGGCTTGACTCAAAAAATAAAAAGAGAAGGTTTAAATGGGAATTGCACTCTCATTTTGTCTTCTTATTCTTCCCTTCTACTTCCTAATCTCTCTCTAATATTCTTTAGATTGAAATTTTGTGAGCTATCTATTCTTTTTTTATGGATCGGTTGAGAAGACAAGCCATGAGTTTGTGTTGACTTTTACTAATTGATTTGAAGAAGATGAGCTAGCGAGATGAGGATGGAGCTAGAGAGATGAGGAGGGATGTAGGAAGAAGAGATGCCTTTTTGAGCAGGGTTTTTTTTCCTTTTCTTTTAATTGGCTTGAAAAAGTTCAGTGAAAGAGAGAAAGAAGGGGAGGATGAAAAGTGCAATTTTCATTGTGACTATTCTCTTTTTAAACTCAAAAGTCTAATTATTCGCCTAAAATTATCTAAATTCTTCAATAGATAGCAACTTGACATGTGGCAGCCATATAAGAAATTTAGCACCGCTAAGTTATTTCTAGGTCTTTTTTCTCTCTATATATAAATGTACAGATAGTAATGGGTAATGCTTGGTACCTTTGATACCAAACACAAAATTGGTGCTTGATAGTAATATGATCACTTCTCAGCCACTTATTTAATAAGTGAATAATCAAGTGGAGACCATTTTTAAATGGGCACCTTTAAATATGTGGATGAGTACCAAGCACCAATTCGATGTTTGGTACCAAACATGCCCATTTTTCACACACGCACTTGTCGCTACTAAGGACCTT